CAGTTGCTGTTGAATGCCAGATCTACTGACCACAGAGACCAACACTGAACCTCAGATATAGCACTATTTCCCAGGGAGACAAGCCAGCAATCTGTACCACTTTTTCCATAGAAAGGACAAAGCCTTGCCCTTACTAGAGTAGATACTTATTCTGTTTATAGATTTGCCTTTTCTGCAAATAATGCTTTTGCCAAAACTACCACACATGGACTTACAAATGCCTTATCCATCATCCTGGTATCCTATATAGTATTGCTTCTGACCAAGGAATTCACTTCACAACTGGAGAAGTACAACAGTGGGCTCATGATCATGGAATCCATTGGTTTTACCATATTTCCCACCATCCTGAACCAACTGGTCTAATAGAAAGATAGAATGGCCTTTTGAAGTCACTATTTCAGCACCAATTAGATGGAGGACTGGGACAGGGTTCTTCTATTTTACAACAGGGTCCAGTATATGATATGATTTCTTCCACAGCCAAGAATCAAGAGATAGAAAAGGGAATTGTTCCACTTACTATAACACCTAGTGACACAGTAGGAAAAGTTTTGCTTCCTATTTTCACAACATTATGTTTGTCTGGCCTAGAAGTTTTGGTTCCAGAGGGAAGAGTACTTCTGCCAGGAGCCACAACAAATATTCCATTGAACTGGAAGCTCAGACTTCTCCCTGGTCACTTTGGGTTTCTGATGCCCTTAAGCAAACAAACTAAGAAAAGAATAACAGTGTTAGGAGGGGTGATAGATCTAGGTTACTTAGGGGATATTGAATTGCTTGTCCACAATGGAGGTAAGAAAGATTACGTCCAAGTGCAGGAAATCTTTTAGGGCATCTCTTGGTGTTATCACATCCTGTTATTATAGTCAATAGGAAACTACAACAACCTAATCCAGACAGAATAATAAAGGGCACAGACTCATTAGGAATGAACATATGGGTCACTCCTCAAGGAAAAGAACCAAAACCTGCTGAGGTGCTTACTGAAGGCAGAAGAAATACAGAATGGGTATCAGAGAAAGGTAGTTATAAATACAGCTAAGGGCACATAATCGTTTGTAGAAATAAAGATGATAACAAACATAAGTGTTTCTGTCACATTTTGTTAAGAATGTATTTATATTATTATTTATATACATCTATTATATAGATATTTTTGTTTTCTTTCCTCAATTTCTTCTTCATTTAATATACCATCAATAAAGAGGACATCAACTGTTATCATATTTAAGTTTGAGATACTAAAAAAATGTTCCACCTATTCTAAATTTATAATGGATTTGTAGTTGTATGAGTGATAGTTATATCACGTTAGGTGCAATTATAATCTGGCAAAACATATAATGTATTTGTAATTATACATGGGATAGTTATAGCATGTGTAGGCATAGTCATGACCTGGTTATTGTTTTCATTTGGAAATTAATCATCACATAAGGAGATATGATTGTGTGTCAAGCTGACAAGGGGTGAACTTGTGATGGATATTTTTGATTGTCAACTCGACTACAGCTGTAATTACCTAAGACCCCCAAATGGAGGTGCATACCAATGATGGGTTTTTGATTAATTTGAACTGGGAAGATCCACTCTTACTTGGATCTTTGAAGTGGGATAACCCATCTTTAATCTGGGCCATGCCTTCTGCAGGAAGCCTATATAAAGGCATGGAAGACAGAAGCTTTTGTTCTTTGCCTGCTTGTTCTTGTCTCTCTAGCAAGTCCTTCACTGCTATTCACGTCTACTTCTTCAAGACTCCAGAGCCCATTGAAGACCAGCTGAAACATCCAGCCTCATGAACTGAAGAATTACTGGATTCTTTGACCTTCCATATATAGGCCGCCATAGTTGGATTAGCTGGACCACAGCCTGCAAGTCATTCTAATAAATACCCATACATATGAATAAGAGAGATATTTATTCTGTAAGTCCTGTTACTCTAGAGAACCTTGAGTAATATAAGGTATCCTGTGGACTAGTTTCAGATAAGCAAAGGAAGTTGAGGAGAAGTCAGATGACAGCTGGTTCCTTCTCTCTTTATCTGTCTCATTTTAAATTTAGTTTCTGAGAAAAAAAATCTGCATTTTAGTGACAATGTAGTCTCTGTGACCTTTGGAACTGATTTAAGAACAGGAGGGAGGCCTTCCCTCCCCTGTCCTTCAGGTCATGTCCTGAAGCTCCAACAATACCTTAGGAGCTGTTTGATTCATTCATTAGAACCAGCATCAACATGTTCCCCTGGGTGTTATATGCATCTACAGCACTGTGAAATGCAATCTCAGGATAATTTGTCCTCCAAAATTCCTAGGCCTTGTTAGAGGTGGAGTGAGATAAAAATCAAGGAAAATGGAAGGGTCTGATGGTAGGAAAGAAACCCAGTTTAAAGATGTTAGCCATTTCTAGCGGCAGCTAGTTCTCTGGAATAGAAAAGCCTGAGTCTGGTTGAGTGTCTTTCAGGAAATAGTTACCAAGTGCCTCCCACATCTCCTGGAATTCTGTACTGGCTTCGAGGTGATACATTACATTTGAGTGTTGGGTTGCATTTTATGTATATGTTGGCTTAGTTTTGTGTAGGTGTTGGGTAATGGCAAGGTTTGTATTTGTTAAAGGCACATCATACCTTTTCCTCAAAACAACAAGGATAAACTAAAGCAACTTACAAAGATGTGGTTCATAAAATGTTGTAAGTCCACACTGAAACAAAAGGAGAGGAAAACCTTGTCATGGTGGCTCAGCCTGTGATCCTAACTCAAGAAACTGAGGCCCTGATGATACAATCGTAAGTAACAAAAAGGCCAAGAACTCCAAGTGGAGTCAGGAATAAAATTAGTCCTTTCTATACAAGATGCTCTCTTGAAATCCTAAACCCTGCTTTATATCTTCAGTTATTCACCCATTATGACAAACTGTAACAGTAAAAGCAGTTATTTGGAAGAACTAGTTCTGATAATAATCTACTCTTTCTTCTACTCTAGGGAAAATCCCAGGACTCTTACCTAGACACTACCTGCAACTCCTTTCAGGCAGTGTCACAGCCTTCATACTTGGGTGTCTGGAAAACAATGAAGTGGCAGAGTGCTTGCCACCCCAGGGCCAGTAGGGGGCCCTGAGTCCTCATGAGAATGCTGGCCACCATGTGCATGAGAGGGCTAGCACAGCAAAATGAATGTCTGGTTTAGGGCCTATGACCCGTATGAAGGAGCCACAGAAGAGTGTTGCTTCAGGGCCCTCCACTAAGGCATTTCATCTGTTGGAAGATGGTCAAATACAGAGTGTGAACTGTGAGCATTCACTGATTGACTGATTGATTTTTTGTGTGTGACAGGACTTTCCTGGACAGATACTCTGTTGTCTTTAAGGAGCCTGTTTCTAGCTCCTGCCCACGAGGAGGGATTATTGTTAGTCTGTCTGTGAGGTTCTCATAAGATTTTCCATGCTTCTCCTAAGCCTATCTTTTAATAGAACAGAGAGCAACCAAACACTTGTTTTCTACAGAAATAATAATAATAATAAAAAGTTTTGGTTTTCAGAAAGTTTTCAGACCTCTGAGCAGAGAGGACAGAGGTAGATGGAGAGGGCTGGAGAGGAGGGGGATTCATTCCATCCTCCAGCCCTCAGCTCCCTCCCTCTCCCTCCTAATACAGCCTTTTGTGCTTGAGAATTTCAGGGTATGACCTCCAGGCCTGGGCACTACTAGCCCATCACCAAAGTATCAACAAAGCATGTACTAGCTCCTGGACAGACTAGCTTGTGGGCTTCTAGAAACTTCCAGGTGTCGTGAACTAAGGTGAAAGGACTCCATCCAGGGCACACAGAGTGTGTTCTGATGTCTGAGGGTAAACAGCATGCCACCACCAGAGCTGGTTATATTTCAGGTGTGCAGTCTCTCTTTCCTTGTAAATTGTTCCAAAACGAAAGTGTGTGTGTTCATGATGGGAGAGGGATCATGAAGGATGAAGGTTAACTTGGGTGACTTTCTCAATCACCTCCACTTATTTGAGCCAGGATCTCTCCTTGGAGCACACTGATTAGGTTCGACTGGATAGCCAGTGAGCTCCAAGACTTGCCTTCCCAGTGCTGGGATCACAGACTTGTGCCCTGGGCTTTTCTAATGGGTGCTGGGGATCTGAACTCAGGCTCTCATACTTTTGAGGCAGCACTCTATCAACTGAGCCATCTTCCTAGTTTCAAGTTGCTTTTCTCGAGCATTTCCAACCCCTTTAAGAGCTCTGGTGTTTGTGATCAGGGCACAGTGACATCATTGTCCTTTGTTCTTTCCTGATGGCTTTCCAGAGGGTAACACATTGAGAGTTAAGGAGTCTCAGTTTCAGGCTCACTTGTGGCCTCTGGTCACCAGCAGATTCATTTGGTGAATAATTCAAGGAGAAAGATTTGACTTGGGCCACGATTCACAACTCCTATGACACATTGCAATTTCACCTCAATTCTAAATTTTCATAATTTGGAGCTCATTAATGCTAAAGACACCAAGCTGGAAACAGTCCCCAGTGGGTCAGTGGCTTTCACCAACTTGTCTGGTATGGATGATGCCCATTGCAAGTACCATTGTTGTGCAGTCAGTACTCAGATGTGTAGAGAAAGAAACCATTGATTTGCTTCCTTCTTCCCTCCTTCCCTCCATCTTCCTTTCTTCCTTCCTCCCTCCCTCCCTCCCTCCTCTCTTTCTTTCTTTCTTTCTTTCTTTCTTTCTTTCTTTCTTTCTTTCT